CAGCAGGAGTTTCATAGTCTTTGATGTACGACTTTAAAGCTTATAGGTACACAGACACACAGGGAAATTAAATAAACACTAGATTTTTAATACTTCTTTTGGTGATAGTTAAGATCCTAGGTGGATAGAAGATCTGTAAAAAAAACAGAGAAGAAATGCAAATAAACTCCCAATGCAAAAACATGCAGCTAACCGTAAAGCCTTGCCATGCCCAGAGAGAATGTGAAATGAGTTGAGCTATTACATGGGCCATTGGCCTTAGAAACAAAACTCATCTACTATTCCCACAGTTCCTCCCACCCAAAATAACCCATCCCAGTAATTCAACATGCTGGAGGTCTATTGATACCCACTTGTATGTAAGGTCAGCTCCCTGAAACAGCCCCTTTAACAGACAGTGGGCTAAACGTTGGGTTTTCATCTGCATAGATTTCCTCCCCCCAGGATGAGAAGGAGTGAACGTGAATGTACTGTTTTACTTGCGGTGCCTCTAGTTTGAAGAGGATGCTGATTGATTTCCTGCTACAGAAGGGCTCAGATCAGGACCATCCTCACTCCAGCCCATTCTCAGCCCTATACACGCTGTGGGTTCAGCCCACCCCACTCCCAGTCCTCCCACAAGAGCTGTGCTGACACATCCATAAGCCAGCATTCCGACCCTGATCTACAGATTTCAGCGGAGGTGGGGTCAAGATACAGCAAGCTTCTTTCACCCATCATACTGAAGGGACAGGACATTCATGGGCTGCTCAGGCAGCAAGCATGAAAACATAGCATGAACGACAGCAAGCTGTCGCAGGCCCAAACACACCACGCTGAGCTACCAGGCATGCCTGGAGCGGCTGCCTGTGAAATACCAAGTTGCAGAGCATGCTATGCACATAACCATCCCCAGGTCATTCCATCAGGGTAGGTGGGCAGAATCCCATGGATGAGAGTAATGAGTTTAGACAGCTCATCCTGGACCCTTCAACTATTCTGGCGTGAGGACAGTATCTTGGGAAAGGCCAATGCACTAATGGCAAATAGCACTGCAACACCAGACGGACCTTCATCTTGGTTGCAGCACCCTGTCCAATAAGCAAGAGGGGGCAGCAACTTTGCTCTCCCGCCATCCTGTGACTACAAAGAACCCTGGGGAATTTCAGGAGCTTTGCGCTGATGAGAACTAGCAAAGACCCCTGCATTCAGGCTCTCATGGGAAAAAGCAGTCTTAGGTCTTACCTCTGGGTTTCTTTCACTATCTCAATTTTCGGACAGTCTAAAACACAGAGGCAGCTGGCCTGCTCTCACTCCCTCTCTGTTGGCAGCTGGTTTCTTGGGGACAGCCCAGTAGGTTTCTCAGGGACATTTTGATATTCAAGCAAGGCATTTCATGTAAAGCAGAAACTCAGTGATTTTTTGATAGAAGTTTCCTGGGGTAGATTGTTCAGCCAATGCAGCAAATTGTGGCAAGGACAGCATGACAGTGAAGGAGCAGTGTCCCCTTCTGGCAGCAGCCACATACTGAATCATGTCCGTGCAGAAGGACTGGGCAGACAAGCAAGGCACCAGGAGGGAATTATTTCTACAAAGGGACATCCAGGTGAACAGCGCTAAAACCAACCTGCCAGATACTGCTGCCCAAGGGAATTCATTCTCCAGCTGTCTTCGATACCTTGTGTCGCATATGTTCAGGCAGAGCACAGCAGTAACTGAACTCTGGGAGCGAAACAATAAATGGACCCTGGGAGTCGACTTCTAAGGGAGGAAATGCACATGACAGAAGAACAGCAGCCATCACCCTGCTCAAAGCTTTGGCCTGTGGCTCACCCAAAGAAGTTGGCACACCCCTCCAATGAAGAATGCAGGGTTAGTGAGACCGGAGAGCTGTTAACATAACCACGGAAAGCCCCGGCCGTGGAGTGAGGACTGCAGTTCTTACACTGAGCAGCATCTCCATAGCCATGTGTGTTTTGGGGCAAGGAGCAAGAGCCACCACCGTCCAACTTGGAAGAGGACACACAGTTGGTTCAGACTTACATTGTCCATCCCCATCCCAGCACTTCAGCCCTCGTTCTCATTTCCTGCTCACATTGCCTGCAAGGTCCAGTTTATCTTCCTCCCATATCTGAGCCCAGCCACCAAGCATCACTTTGGTCTACACTGTCCCTCAGACCCTTCCATGCCCCACCCTGAGCATGCTTTTGTTTCCAAAAAGCCTGTCTCTTTGACCCTCGCCCCTGTGTTATGTCCCAGGATACCTTCATGGCAGTTTAAGACTTCTCTCAGTGCTCTACATGCAGCTCTCTTTGTCTCCAGGATACCATCAGGCTGGCCAGGGCTGTAGATCGCTGCCTCCACCACCAGTTGCCAGGCCCCATCCAGCAGACACTGCATTCTCCTAAGTGCTCCCACTGCCTGGTCCAGCTGCTCCTGGGGCTCTGGACGGATCAACACAAGCACCAGCACGTCTGGCAGGCAGGGGAGGAGGTTCCTCACATCCCAGAGGGCCTCATCCAGGTGATCCCACTGCACGAGCTGCTTCAACACAGTGGCTTGCCACAGCATAAAAACCAGATGCGGCCGAACCTCCCCCTCCTCTTCCTCTTCCACCCTCTCCGCCTGCTGTAGTTTAGCCCTGATGTCAGCTGTGCCACACAGGTCCTGGGCAAAATCCACCAGCAACGAGGGAGTTCTCGCATTCTCATTGTCCACCTCCATCACCAGCATCCGTCCGTTCCGCCTCCCCACTATGTCCACCAGGTTGAGGAGCTCCCAGGTGGTTCGGTCCACAAAGGAGCAGACAGCAGGCTCCTCCGATGCCATAGCTTCCTCCTACACAAGTCCTTTTACTGCGCTGCTGGGAAAAGCAGGGGAAGGGGTTTGCTGTAGCAAAGGTACTTGCATTGCACAGGCCTTGAAACAGGCTACGCCTGCTGCTCTCTGCAGCCACCACATACAAGCAAACACGCTGGTTTTGGTGGGACCAAATGAATGTGAAAGGAAATAGCAGAGTTTTGACACACAGATTCAAAAATTGTAGCTGCCATATGCTATTTGATATTGGACATCCCAGTAACAGGCTTTGTACCTCAGTATTCTGGTACATTAGAAAAAGATGAAAGGGGAAAGGGATCATTTTTGGGCATCTTCAAACTCAAGAGCACTTATTACCTTCTCATTAGCAGAGCCCAACCATATGATCGGGATCACAGTCCTACCAACCTGCTGTTACAGTCCAATTTGCCCACTATGTTTCCTCCTCCTCCTTCCTCTGGTAATACCTAAAACCGGAAATTCAATTTGTGTTCCACCCCATCCTTCTTTGAATCCTATGTGTACAGCCTGTTGGTATTTGCGGAAGACTAAAGCCCTGCTTGACCTGACCCAGCATCCCATAAGCTGCAGTTTCTCTTCATATGCTTAAAAAATGCAGCTTCCCATTGCAAGCGCTCTCCTGCTGTTGGAGACAGCAGTAGCAGCAGGCTTAGTTCCTGAAGCAAGTCCAGAAAAAAAACCTTCTATACCAGAGCTCAGTAGCCAGGTCCAGTTTTTTTTGAATTGCCATTCAAAAGAAAAATCTTCATTTACCCAATAACATACTCTGAATACACAACTACTCCACCTCCTTCAGACGAAGGGGATTAGTTATAAAATACCAGCCCACCGCAGGAGACAAGCAAAGCCCCCAGCTCAGAGGGCTCCTGGCCAGGAGAGGGAAGCTCTTGCTCACAGGGAGGAGGGACCTGCACTTGAGCTGGACCAAGGGAAGGCAAGGGCAACGACTTACCTGCCTCACTAACTAGGGGTGCTTTCCAAATGACCGAACAATGACATGGAATCAACGGCACCACCCGCCCAGGGTATCGACAGGTCATTTCAGGACTGTGACATCAGCAGTAACCATGCCAACCTGCAGTTGCCTGAAACCTCCCTTAAAACTACCCAGTATTCTTGAGGGATGTACTAAGAAACTCCAATAATTGCACTTTAAGAATCTTTAAATTCATTTTTCACCACCTTCTTGTTCAACAAACCTTAAAGAACTCATGGAAGTGATACACTAGTTCGATGCAAGCATCCTCTCCACCCCATGTTACATATTGTGATAAGGCAGGCCAGGAAACCAGCAAGTATTAACACCAAGGCACTACAGAATTTTGTGATAAAAACGCGTCTGAATAAATTTCACAGAACAGATGCTACAGGCATGCATGCTGCCCAGGTATGTTCGGTCTCATTCTTTGTGATTCTACTAGAAGCACTATTTTTAAATGTGAGCTAGGACTTACACCTGCTAGGATTTAGTGTCCCATTACAGTTTTGTCTCAACAGCAGACATTGCCAAGTACAAGAGAAAGGGGAATAAGAAGTTCCCCTCTAGTAGGCAGGCAAGGAAGTATTCTCATGTTCTACAGAAAGCTTGTGTGCAGTTTATGAGTTTGTAAACATTTACTGTTTAGCTCTGCAAACCATTCAGAGTCCATGATGGGAGGCACAGACAGGTCGCAGTAAAGGCTGCCAGGTATTTGTCTTTAGAATGTAGTCTGTTACAAACGCCTTGCCAAGCACGGGTCAAATCTCCATTTCTAGCTTAGAGTCACTGCTCCATCCCTGCGCTGTGAATTCTGATATGCTACTGAAAAAGAACAAAGTCCCTCAAAATAGGTGGAGGGGATAAAAATAGAAACATACAAAAATTAAACAGATTCTCCATTTTATTTCCAATAAAAATTTAGATCCTAGATGGATACAGCATCTGTAAAAGACAAGATTAGAATCACGTTAGAAATCCTGTTACTGGAACGTACTATTTTAAATGCAAGTTTTGCAGTTACAATCTAGATCATCGATCTCTTCATCTACTACAAAAGTGACCACCCTCCTACCCCCCACTTACACAGAAGATATGCAAGGATGAAAAAGTGTAGCAGCATCACTAGGAAGACATTAAAACTTTAGGTGATGGACCTAAAGGGGACAGTCTCATTGAAGCCTTTGCAGCTAAACCAGGTCCTAGTGGAGAGGTCAGGACAACACAGCCCTCAGTTAAAACACTTGGGAGGTAGGAGAAAAATCTGTCAACAGGTAGGAACTGGAGTTGAAAGGTACAAAAATACACGTACAATATCCAGGGAAAAGAAATCAAGATAGCTTTAGAAGGGAGCTGAGGAAGACTCCCTGAACTCAAAGAGCTTTTCCAGACAGCGAGGCAACCCCCCTCAGCACAAGAAGCCAGCAATAAACTTCTCCTAGCTCCAAAAGGAGCACTTATCAAAGAGCCATGCTGAATACACAAAAGAAGAAAACCACAGTTCAAGCTTTCCCTCATACTATGTGGGCTTAAAAGGCACCCTGAAAACTACCAACACATATATTGTTGATAAAATAAATCCACTTACCACCCGGATTCTGTGTCCAATGGCCTTGGCAGGAAGGTTGGAGCGGAACTTGGCACGAACCATGCCGCTGTTCCCATGGGCACGGGTTACCTTCCCCCAGATCACTCGTGTCCTGTTGGGCTTGCCACCGGGGGTTACAGTGTTGCTGAAGAAAGAGAGGACAAGAACCACTGAGCACGCCAGTCACAGCTCTGTATGGGACTGACCGGTGATGGGGCAGACAACACAGCCTCTTTAAGGCACTTCCATAACTGTATTCCACAGCCATACTTAGTTGGACCACATTCCATTTATTTACCTGTGAAATTTGCTAGACCTGGGATTTTCACTATACCTTCCAAATAGGTATTGCAGCTTGTAATTTGTCAGAAGCACCACTGGAGAACTAGTAACAAGTAACAAAACTTAAAAGTCTGGAAAACACTAATGCTAAGATGATCAAACCAAAAACTCATCAATTTCAACCACTGGTATAAGACTGCAAAAACTGCTTTAGAACAAAAGCCATATGCCAGCTTGGAAACAATAGTGGTCAAGTTAACAGTCTGATCAATTTTATTCAGGGCAATTCTGAACTCCCATATCTGAACTCTGTTAACAACTACACTCAAAGAAAAAAATAAGTGGAAGGTAGTAAGTGACTGTTCTTAAGGCCTCCACCAATACTGGCACAGCAGAAGTGACAGTGCTCTGACATGGGCACGCAAAAGCCAGGATAAAAATTCCTCCAGGCTTCACAAAATAATTCTGCTGTTAAAGTAACTCAATAGCTCATAGTACTCAACACAAGTTCACCTCACTTCAATTTACTCTATCAAGCTGCCTTCAGTTTTTGCCAGTCTCAGGCAAAATTTGTTTCTCATCCCGTTGGCTCTCTACCATATCATTTATAACAGTGAATGATTATTTCACATAACTTCATGATCTGAGTTAAGAACACACAGGCCAATTAAGCAAAAATAACCAAGGACTTTAAAAATGAAACCAGCCCAGGAAACTGGTCTACACAGTACTCTATGGACATTCTATTGATAAACTGAGCCCAATTTATTTTTGTTCTAACAAAAAGCTCTATAAACAGACTGTTCACATCCTGGCATTTAGAAAAGCTGATACAGGAATTGGCTAATTTAGCATAACAACAAAAAGTTACTTACTTTTTAGCTTTGTATACATAGGCACACCTCTTGCCCAAGTAGAAGTCTGTCTCCTGACGGGCATAAACACCTTCAATTTTCAGAAGGGCAGTGTGCTCCCGCTGGTTTCGGAGGCCACGTTTGTAGCCAGCAAAAATGGCCTTACACCACAGCCTAAAGGCATTGAAAACATTTACAAATTATAATTCACTCCAAACTATCAAATGCAAAACCAAATAACATTCTGTTTCCGTAGGAACTATTTCCACACCAGTAGAAATTCAGGTGAGGAAAAAACCCTGTTTTTGCTTTTACTTAATGACTGCAAATCCTTACATTTAGTCAACAGAGGAAACCTAAGTAACTGGGACATGAAGTATTTATGAGAACTTTGCCTCTTTTGTCTTGTTATGAACTTTTGACACTACAGGCTTCATAAGAAAACCAGAGCACTTCAACATTAGTAAGTGCTATGTTTTCAAATGTCTACAAACACTCTGTGATGAGGAAATACCACTTTTTTTCTATACACCACATAAACTGAGTCTCCTGCATTGCAGTAACTGCTATAGCAGAAGATATTGACTATTCGTAGCCTCAAAAGAATTAACTGCGGTCTATGGGGACAGCCAGAGAGACAGCCCCCCCGCCCGACAAGTGACATGACACAAACTCCCCAACAATTCTTCACGACAAAGACCTGTTTGTACTATGCACATAAAGCAATTATAAGGCTCATTCCACACATTGTGTACATGACACCACTGTCTCAAACTGCATCCAGCAACTGTCCCATAATACAGCAGTATTAAACAAAGCTATCCAGTTCTTCCTTCCATGCATGCACAACAGAAGATAAACTCCACAGATAAATACTAAGACAAAACGCTGTGATTCAGACTTCACCATTTACAACCTCAACCCCTGTATCCTTAAGAAAACTCGATGGCATAGTACCTCCCTTACTCAAGGAAACAATATCAAAGCCTCTGCTGTATGCTGAAGGTTCACAAACCCTGTGCTAACAAAGCCACCATTAATATCCCACATCTATTAACAGGCCCGGAAAAGCGTAGCACACCACAGGAACAGCTACAACCAGTTTAAGGCAGAGGCTTCAGAAGAGAGAGACACAACTGTGGGCAGTTAACAGAGGACCCAGCAGGATACTGGACAGATGAGCTGT